CGTCGCTACCTCCATATTGGCGGGGACCGATTGGAAAAAATCCTTTCACGGTCAGGATTCTTGTCTCGTTTCGGTTGACAACTAATGAGAGCTTCCAAGTGGTCACTGGCAACAGGTGGTTAATGGTGATATGCTTGCGCTTAGGTGACGGTGGTGTGGTGACTGGCCATTGCGGAGAAAAAATTTGAGCGCTAGGCAGTAATGGGAAAAAGAAAACCTATCGTAATACCCTTAGCTTCCAGGCACGTTCCAGAATGGATTCTACCGTGTACCGTGATATCTGGTAGTGGCTCTCATTTTCTTCATATAGTATTTGCCAAAGTGCGAGGGGGGGATTGGGGAGAAGTGGTAAGTGCTAGTAGAGGGGCTATGGGTGGAGAGGTGTTGTTATTTAGGAGAGGGGCATTTTTTGTAATTGAGGGAGAGAGCATTGGAGTGACAAAGGGGGATGCATGTCTCTATGCCATGAAGCATGGCCCACTTTGAACCACTTCGTATCACTCGCAGTGTGATGCCTGGTCTGGTGTATTCACCGAAAGGTATCATAATTACAATATTAGACATAGTCACACTGGTTCCACCCGGGCGGAAGCTTTCCTCACCTGATATTAAGCTCGGGGGCCACCCCCTTCTCTGTGTGCGTGCTAAGAGTAATCTTCCGGATCTCCCTTAATACCTCTAGGCTAGCATCGCTCGGTGAATCTTCCACATTTAAGCTTGTTTTCATGAACATTTTGACGAGTGTAACTGTGGCCACTGAACCTGCAAAGTTCCCTCCCTTTCCCACTACCAGTTGAGTCACTCCCAGGAACTCTAATGTCCTCTGGGGCATCCCTGTTCCCGAAACTCTTCGCCAATTATCCATCATATGGTGTTCTATGATTAAACGTAGCCTTCTCAGAGGCAACGCGGGTGGTATGCACCCGGATGTGGTGTTCTTAAGCTTTGTTTGCTGGGTCCATCACTGCTTTATCCACTAGCACCCACCTCTCCACTTCCAATTACCATTTTGAGGCTTCATCTTTCCATTCTAGCTTCTTGTTCACTCTTTCCCTTCAGAAGTCCTTTCTGAACACCCTCATCCATATCTGCGTATATGGGATTTCCAACACTTTTTTAGCACTGCATCAACGTAGCATTCCTTCGGCCCCGGAAGTAGGAACATTATGGCCCACCCGGCCGATGCGGTGGAGGTGGTAATCGCGGGAGAACGGACGGTCAAATTGGATTATTCGGTCAATGTTTGGGAGGTCTAGGCGGCGGGTAGCGACATCGGTGCTAAAGAGGATAGAAGGGGAGTTAGTGTGCGCAAAGGAGTGGAGGGTGGAGGTTCGGATTGGCTGTGTGAGGGAGCCATAGAGTTTGTGGGGGAGGACGGTGGGATGGAGGTGTGGGGCCTAGGCGATTGTAGAGTTGTTTGGTGGAGGTTGTCTATAGTAGATGGCTTTCCAGAAGGATCTAGTTCGGTTTCTGGAGCATGGGGTTTTGAAGAGTCTTTTTTTTTTTCGGAGCCTTCCAAGCGTTTCGTGGATTTCGGGCTGGGCTTTGGCAGTTGAATATCGGAACCATCCTTCAGCAAACAAGGAAATACTTGAAAGTGAGAGTCCATCCAATCGAGCAGGAGAAAAAGACAATAATCTTTGGGCTTGTATCATAGTCGTATAAGAGCACTCCTAAGTATCGCATTAGACCCCACCAAGCCATGTAATGGGTTGACCCGGGTCGAAAATGAGCCGACCCAACCCAACCCAACGAAGAATAACCCGGGTTTGCCCAACGAACCCGTTGGGTTTTGAAGAAATGGGAAGCTACTCTAGTTAAGAAAAAGATGATTATAATTATTAGGTATTACGAGAGTTATAAGCTTGCAATAGTACAGAACCAACTAGGGTGGGGGAGGCGAATAGAAGTAATAGATCATACAGAATGAGGGAGGAAAGAATGGCATAAGTAATAAGAGTGTAACTAAGAACCAGAATGCCAACTGCGGAGATACTGAGTGGCTTGAATTGTTTCCGGATGGAGAGAAAGGCGTGAGTCAGATATCATCCTGTGGCAATGAGGAATCCGAGTTTACTGGTTCTTCATGAACTTCTGATCATTCAGTTGTGGTGCTCTCTTTGTGCTGCAATTGAGGGGTCTCAATATCTGATATGGGACTCAGTGTCCTCAGAAAAGGCGGGGGACTAGACAGAACACTTCTGATATCAGAAACAAAACTCATGAGTATTATATCTCGGTAGGATGCTGGGGGTAGGGAACTTGAAGACAGGCAGTAAACAGAAAACAGAAGCAATACCAGATAGGTAGTCGCCTAGGAGGGCTGGCATAAAATAATATTAACTTAATGAAGAAAGTTCAAGCTCGTATTGAGTGTCTTTAATCCTTCAGAGCAAGTAATCTTCTGTTAGGTGGAGACAACCTAATAGACTTCAGAGTTGTCTAGGCCAACCAAGATTCATTTCTGTAGATGGAGATTGTCTAGGAAGGCTCGGATTATACTCATTTGGTTTATGACTACTAAGAGTGGAGTAAAGTAGGTAAAGTAGAATAGAATCGTAAGAATAATATTATATTATTAAGGTCTTTTCTCCATTGCTTGATGATGTCTAAAAGCTTGGAATGTACTTCAATATTTATATTCTGTGTCTGAGTATTCACGGACTACATCTATCTATTATACAACTATGTACCTCTCTGATTATAACTTGCAATGTAGGATTTTCTTCAAAGGTGCCAACTCCAAGAGACCATGAAAATCACCACACCCTCTTGAGTAATTACGATATTGCCAACTAAGAACTATACTGTTCCTAATAGTAATTATCTGATTATCAGAGTCTTTAGCCTTATGGCCCAGTTCTCAAGTCAAACTGAGTTGTCCCCAATTGTCTCTGTCATTGATGAATAATCAGTTTTATCTATGGATTGTATCTGAGGAGTCAGTCATAATTACAATCTTCCTCAGTCATCTGACTTCAATCCTCTATAACTTCATATCCAACAACCAGATTTCTTCCGGAGGACTTCCTATTAATTCGCAGGAAGCTATTATACCAGATTGATAGATAATACCTCAATTAGCAACTCTTAGTTGCTCTGTGTAACAGGGTGTCAATTGCTGTGCTAGTATTGGGAATCATTCCCACAACTACAATACATGCTTGGACCCAGTTATAACATTCTGTGAAGTCCATTGGCTTCTATGATAGTGTTCCTTGGAGTTCTAGACTCTTCTAGTTATTGTAGGGTGGGTGCGAATGTATTGGTTTCTCGTTGAGATCCTTTATCATTCGATACCATATCTTTGTGCAAGAAGGTCTGGTTACTTATGGCTCATACCAAAGATGTTATATCTTTGAAGCCTAGTAACTCTCTGAGTAGTTGATGGATCTACTTTGTTCTACTTCCCAGACCTAGCCAATAGTTCCCTCTCATATGTCCTGCGAACAGGATCTGGCCAGACAGACGGCAGTTAGGTATTTGGTGTTATTCTGACACCTTCAGTTCTGTGGCCATATAGTCGCGGGACGCAACTAAGGTGTGATAACATGTGGGCCCTGTAAGAGGGCCCTGTAAGGGGGCCGAAGGGGTTGTTGGAGACCAGAGATTCCAATTCCGAGTGGGGTTACCCTACTTAGAGTGGTTCCTAGGTATCGAATCCTGGTATTCCTAACATCTTCTGAGATTCCTAATCACTCTTAGGTCTAGTTTTTCTGAAGACTATTCAAATTTAGAGAAACCTCCGCTTTCACCTTTCTACTAACAGTAAATACTGTCTTAGTATTCTGTGTTTAGACTACAGTTTCCATGGTAATCGCGATAAAACAAAGTGAACAAGATTGGTTGTTCGTTGGGTAACCCGGGTTAGTCCCCCTTCAACCCGACCCAACCCAACAAAGCTCAATCCCGAACCCGACCCAAGGAACCCAACCCAACCCAACGAATGACCTGGGTTAACCCACCCAAGGCCCGACCCATTGCATGGCTTGGCTGGGCCTGGCATCCCTATAGGCTGTATAGGCTGTATAGGCTTTGTACTACCTGCCTTTTGGGGCTCGGTTAGCCAGATATTCGCTTCCCCTTTGTTTTTAACTTCTGTTCAACGTGACTTGCATTCTTCCAAGCTTTCACCTGCCTAGCCAATTCTCTCTATGCATTACTACTCGGTCTGGTAGTAGCACCTGTTCTAAATCATTTATTTCTAGTGGAAAGGACAAGTTAAAAACCCTGGCAAATTACAGGTAGTCATACACATTCTCATAAGTGAACCAAATCTAAACCTCTTACAGGCTCCTCAGGAGGAAGAAAAAAGCAATGAAAAATTAAAGAAACCAAATGCGAAGTGTTTGGAAACTTTTTCTAAATTTGACACCATGGTTGCTTTGGAAACGGTTTTTCAATGCCAAGGGTCCAGCCTATGGGCGCCCACCAGGCCCGATAGGCTGGGCTGATGGAATTCGGCCTATATTGACCTAGGTCATTCCTCGGAGTGGCCTGGCCCATTGGGAACACTGCTCGTGATGGGAAATGCACCATCTCAGGCCTTGCAATGAGGGAGGATTTAATGCAAATCCAGGAGTGGGGTGCCTTCGATGCAGCCCATATCTTCCCGGTTCAATTGGAGAGTCTTTGGGTTCAGTTTGGATTTTCGCATTTCATAACGGACAAGGGCGATGACGACACCGGATCCACAAAGATCCACTCGTGCCAAAATGGGCTTCTTCTCAACAAAGTCTCTCATTCAATGTTTGATCGGTACATGCTCTCCATTAATGCCGGCAATGGGTACAAGGTTGTTGTGTTTACCTCGGATCTTTTAGGATATGATGGTAGCATTTTCTATCCCGTGTGCCGAAACCCAGACGATCCCCACCCTATTGTTGGAAATCATGGATGCTACTCGGCATGCTCAAGGCTTTGTTCCCTCGTCCGCCGGCATATCCGGCCGTCGGCATCACTACCCACCCATCCACCCGCCATCCCTTCTTTTGTCGCCCGTTCATTTGCCTGTCCGCATATTCGATGTACATTCCCGGGGCCCGCCGTTTGTCCATTCCCGCCTGCTCGCTCCCCTCCTGCCACTTGTTTGTTGGAACACTTGCTTTGTTGGGGCAGATGTTCTCGTTGGGCGCTTTGGAAAAGAGATTCTGACGGAGAAGGATTTGAATGTCATGAGACTTCTAGACTGTCGGGAGTCTTTGTTCCTGTATTTCTCTCGTCAGCAATTGGAGCGCGGAAGGCAATTGGAGCATGGGAGGCAAAATTGGAGAGTCTCTGTAGAGTCTATTATTTGTTCTTTCTTTTGTTAGCATGAGAGCACACAGAGGAAATAGGAGATGGGTGTGGGAGATGTTAGAGATACTGGTATGCAAGTGATCGCAGGAAGGATAGGATAGGTGATCTTTGTTATTTATTTATACTCCTGTCTTTTCCGGTCAGTTAGTTTAGTTGTGGATCAGTAGAGTTGTGGAGCGAGAGATAGAGAATCGTTGAATAGAGCAAGTCATGGAGGGATCTTGGTGCACTTCCCCGCCTTTTGGTTGTGCAGAGTTTTCACAGTGCATTCAGTTATCACTGTTTCGTTCCATTGTCGTTTCGGTATAGTTCTGGCTCCGGTTAGCCTGTTGTTTTCTAAAACGTATATCTGACGATCTCCTTAGATGGCATTTTTGCCGATTTGTCTTTCGTAATATGAGAGGAGCAGCGGAACCAACCTTCGAGGCAGATTTCCTACCAGAACCCGATAAAGTCCATGTCATCCTTACAATGGGAAACCAACCCGTGTGCGAGCCAGCCAGGAGCGAGGATGGGGTACTGTACAAGGTGACTATTTCATGTGTGAGAAGTATAATGTCCGTTTTTTGAGCGCCGAGGGAATAGCCGGGGATGACGACAGCAAGCATTTTTACTGTGGCAAGGGTAGAGTTCAATGCGAGGATGAGGGGGAGTTGAAAGTGTGCCAGATGGAGGGTTCTGAGCATGTGGTTTGTTGTGGGTGTTCTCGGGAGTTTGGGGTTGATAGGGAGCTTGAGCTTCCTTGAAATCAGGCGTATTTCCAATCCTTCTTCCTTTCCACTATTGAAGGATATTTGGCAAGCTAATATTACAATTTGGGGTGTGCGGGTGTCGAAGCAATTTTGCAGATACCGGTAAAGTCCACTATAGAGATCATACGGTATTTGTATCTCGGCATTTTGGAGAGGTCGATTAGTCAGCATTTCACGAACACTTCTGACTAGTGACTGTACGGTACTTAGTGGGTGAGCATAAGTGAGGGGAGGGACAGGTTTAGTGGCTGTAGGTCAGGGGTGAAGGGGCGGTCTACAAGGCTACACGCCCAAAGTATCATACCCAATAGTATTATAGGTAGTCCTGTTGACTAGTAACAATCGAAAGGACTATCAAAAAAAAAAAAAAAAGTGAGGTGAGGGGGGGTTCATTGATCAGATTTTGGGGAGTGTAAAAGCGGCTAATTTTGGCAGTTTTCCCTTCGGTTTTTTTTTTTTTGGAGGGGGGGATAAAGTCAGGTAAACCTAAAAAATTCTGACCCTAGAATCTTCACGAAATTCTGCTCTCTCACTAGCTAAGGGGGTGTTTGGCCCCACTTATGATTTCAAATCGTGATTTGAGATCAGGTCTTGGCAAGTTTAACTTAGATTATTATTTCCATATTGAACTAGGTACAAGAGTAATTGAACTAATAATTTAAGTTAAATGTGTCAAGACCTGATCACAAATCACGATTTGAAATCATAAATGGCGGGCCAAACGCCCCCTAAGTATCATAACCCAAGAACGAACGAGAACCAGTTCGCCTCGCTCACCCTTAACTCCTGGTATCATACTCAGGTACTGTGCCTGGAATGCCAGAGTGTAGCAAGACCAACTATGGTGCATGCAGTCTAGTCACAGTACCAAGGGCATAGCCATGGGGGACGCAATGGAGACCCAACGGGGGACGCCTTGGCACTCATTCAGGTGGGATACCATGGACTTAGGATTAAATCCTTAGGGTATCATGAATATTTTCTCATAATATTAATAATATGATAATAATAATATTATTATGATACTTTGTATTTTCTGTATCACAATCCAAATATGCAATAGTTTTATCCTAATAATATAGAACTAAATTCGTTTAATCCTATCAACACCTGATATCCAATATCTTTAAAAAATTACCCCATCTCTATTATATTATTCTATTTACTTTTAGACAATAAAGAACCAGTATCTAAAAGATATAAAACTCACCAATGAGTAGATATGTCAATGGTAGAAGACACATAGGTTTGTGTGTTTGAAACTTGGTTTGATGGTTCACAGTACTATTAGATGCTTTTCTATGATACTATAACTTGAATAATATAATAAAGGGAGTGTAAAAAGTAAAGACAACAACAAAATTATTCATGATAACCTAAGGATCTAATCCTAAGCCCATAGTCTCCCACACAAATGAGTGCCAAGGTGTCTCCTGCTGCATCCCCGTTGCGTCCCCTGTGGCTACGCCCTTGGTGTTGTGACTAGACGGCGTGCACCATACTATGATATCATATGCAGTACACCTGGGGCTATAGCCTGCCAGTATGATACCATGTATGATAGGATATACAAAATAGTTGAGGTCACATGTATGCAGTTAAGCATATCAACTTACTCAAATATTGTAGTGCCAAATATGATAGGACCATCAAATCACCACATACACTAAAATTTAATTATTTAATTCCTAAAAGGGCCGAAGGTTTAATCTAACCTAATCTTTCTTACCAAACCCTAACCTATTGGTATCACACCATGTGTGGCGATGACTGTGCCAGTGCTGTATCAGACCACCTAAACTATTATATAAGGAGTTGTGAATTTCACTTTCATTATTTCCACAACCACACCTACAGTCCAAGAAAAAGATAACACCAACAAGCACAAACAACACACAATGCCAAGAGACAGGGAACTGACAGACCCCCAGAAGACAGCTGAATATTTGCGCACAGCAGCAAATCAATTCAACTTATTTCCTAATATCCCTGTCCACCAACAAGAGAATTTACCTTCTGAACTGCTACAGAGAATGTTAAACAACGGTCAACTCTTTGCGACTGACTTACAAACTATTGCTCAACGTCTTGGAAGTCCACCTCTACTCACAGGAGCTCCTCCTCCGGCAATCGAATACCAAGTTGAAACTAGCAATCAAGAGCATAATCCTATCATGGAACAACTGTGCAACTTCAGGATTCTTGCTCAGCAGTTTTGTGTGGTAGCAGACCAAATCGAGTTAGTTCCTGCACCTTACACGGTCCGGATAGATGGTCGGCCCAGGGTCATGGATTTGAGGATGAGAATAATGAACTATCTCAAGATCCTGCAAGCTGATCTGCAGCTTCTTACCCAGTGCCTTTCTGGTGACCCTCAACTATTGCAGATTAGTCCTGAGATCGTCCATGGTCAAGATCAAAACTCCAATACCCAATATAACCAGTAAGATATTTTTCATAAAAATAGATTGAATGTTATGGGCTCTAACTATTCTACAGATTCTCTCCACATTCGCCGGACATCCCACCAAGTGAACGGAAGGTGATGGTGATCAGGTATCCACCTGGTTTCTATAGTGAAAACCCAGCTCAAGGAACAGGTCTTAACTCTGAGCCACAATAGTAAGATCCACCATTTGAAATATGTTTCACCCTCCTTCTAGAATTGCACTAACCTATAGTACATCCAGAGGACAATGGTGGGGAATTGACTGAAAATCTGCGCCTACCCAAATGGAGTATCTAGGGATTCCGATTATTGTTCGATGAGAAATGGCTTTTTATGGATCCGAATTGTTTTTGCGCCATCTGGGAATCTGCACGTACTATAATTTAGAAGTTGCTTTATTCGAGCCAGCACGGCAGGTAGATAAATAAAAATAAAAATAAAAGCAGTTTCTACCGCTCTAACGTCCCGCGAGTAGGGTGCGGTGAAGGACGCTATCCATTTACTTGTGAAAACTATATCACCGTATACGTGCACTGTCAGGTTATTGAAAACACCATTCATACCCGCGAAGACTTGTCCAAACGAAATAGCGTTTACCAGTAGTGGTCACTCCGTCCAGGTAAATCGGTCCGTTGGAACTCGGGCCACCATTGGGGAGTGCTGGGAGGAAGGACGAACATGCGTCCGGAAAGGCGACACGACAAGTCAAGCAAGTTCCACTCGCTGGGGAGTTTAATGGTGCGTGCTCGCACATGCTGCATGGATGGACAGACTAAGGTGAGAACTGTGTGGATGGAGGTGATGGCCTCGCGTTCCTTTAGGGGTTTCTAGTGAACCTTACTGTATGATAATATGTGCATCCGTTAAAGGCTCCGGCGTATGGTCATAGGTTCTTTTTGCAACTTTCTGCCACTCTGGTAGGTATGATACCCTATAGAGCGCTCAGCGGGTAGGAGGGGTAAATGTATGGCATTATCCTACAAGCTCATAGACCCCTTGAGAGCACACTCTTGAGCAAGGGGGGCTTCTAACGTTCCCAAAATATGCAATTATAATACCTATCATACTCTCTATATACTGAGTTTTCCCGTTGGATTAGGGATAAGAGTAGGTATTGTACAGTCCTGGCCCTTGACTCTAAGGTTGATGGATCGCTAGCCCCCCCCCCCCCACACTCCTCACTCACGCGGCATTCCTAGCAGTGGCTTCCCATAGCCGGGGAGCGGAGGACTTCATGATCAGTAGCGCTGTCTCCCATCACTACTCGAGTATGACACTGTCGAAGGGAAGACCGCGCTTCGAGCTATAGCCACAACCACCACCATTACTCCCATCACCGGAAAAAAGAAGGAAATAAAGAAATAAAGCCCTCTCCCCCGCGAGTATGATAGGCAAACATGAACACGCAAGATATCATAACCGCACAGATGGCATGCCCCCTCCGCGCCCCCGCAGCCCACCTCGGCGCCAAGGGGGCATTCCCAAGTTCCGCGCACTTGCCAATGTATGATGCGATATCGTACCATACCCAGGCGTGTGCCCCAGCCCGGCTGACCATGTTGGATAGTGGCCTATAGGGCATGGGGTTATGAAGGTTTGCGGTCATGAAGGGTTGCGGTTATGCAGGTTTACGGGTATGTGGTTAGAAGACAGAAGGATACAGGGTATCTGTCTTTGTAGTTTCCTACGGTACTGCACCTAGCAGAGGCTTTGTTCTTTTCGCTTTCTATGCCGGTTGGCATAGGATATTTGTTTTATGGTTTCTTTCATTCCCTAGGTATACGGAAGTTTGCGCATTGGCATTGTTGAGGTTGAGGTTCCATGGATCACGATGGATCATGGAGAGTTCTAGATTGCAGGAGATTTCCTTTTTTCAGCCTCATGTGTCTCTTTAGAGTTCGTTTAGTTTCGCGCATGTTAGATTGTTGTTGTCTTGACGGAGATATATATCTCCTAGTTTGTTCTTAGCTAGCATGGGCGGAAGAGAGTTGGAGAGTCTATCGATCCTTCATCCCCGCACTTGTTTCGCACTCAGAGTCTTTCGTGATCCCACTCTAGTTCGCTCCTTCTTCAGTGCTTTCGTTAGGCACGAACAGACCAAAGTGTCCAGTCCCCGCAATCACAGACCCTCACTCGTAACTTTTTTTTTTTTCGCAAACTGGAAGAAGGAAAAAACATTTAGGGTTCGTTTTCCTTGAACCGAACCGAACAGCCAATGGACCACCCGTAAAGGAGGTTTGAGTATCCAACAAAAAAAAAAGAACTCTAGACAACCCCGAAGGTCGCACAGCCCAAGTCAAATTCCATTCGAACAGCAAGCTAATGAGAAAATGCACGAAACAAGCTGGACTTTTTCTCGGAGTATCATAATCAATCCTATCCGCGCTAACAAGATCCCATCCAAGTGCAATCCAAGAGTTTGAGGACCATAGTTAAGAAAGTTGCGCCGCTCGCGAAAAGATCCTTTCCCCCCTTCCTCTAACTCGTACAGGGGTTGGCGATACATCGGTTCCATCAACACCCTCAACACAGCCAAATTGGCCAAAAATGCCCAAGCAAGTCACCAAGTTATGGTATCATACCAGTTTTGGCCCACGAGCAACAGTAGAGTCGTGTCCGCGCGGTATAATACCACAGCGCACGCTCCAACTAAAATTGGTTCGCCGTCCCCATCCGGTTCGCCACAACGCAGATGCCAGATGGCGAACGGGGGGTATCGGATAAATGATTCTAAACTTGGTTGGCTTACCGGTTGATATCTTTGCACTTTAAATTTACCAAGTGATGAGTGATGATTCATTCGTATCTTCTAATTTTGTGTTTTTCCTGCTCGCGCTCTCTCCTCCTCATTCTCGTTTGGTCGGGGTTGGTGTATGCTCTCTGGCCTGGCCACCCTTGAGCTGATGGTGAAGGTTTGGATAAGAATCTGATGGTGAATAAATTTCTTTCTTTTCTTTTCTTTCTAGCTAGCTGGGTGATCATAATGTATGCTCAAGGTCTATCTACCGGTATACTTCTTTCATCTCTTTCAAGATCAGAAATCGCCTTCAAGACTTGACTTCCCTCCTGCTTTGGCAATGTTTCGTTCGTTGCTCAGATTGGTACTGTAGACTACCCGATCAAAGAATTTCGTTTTCCTAGCCAGTCAGATGGCCCTACTAGCTTTATACCATCAAGGCTATCCATGTGCGAGGCTATCGTTCAAGATTTGCAGACACCCCCCCCCCACTTTACACCGAAAATGGCTGATTTTAAACATGCTCAACTCATCCAAAAGCAATGGAGAATTATGGAAATCAATTCCCTTGTGTAGGAAATTACCCAGAATCTCTGCATAGAAATTGTGTCAACTTTTCCACCCCACCTTGAGGGCTGAGAAATGGGGGGACAGATTGGATGCTGCTGCAATGTACTGTACTCATCCCTTTTGTATGGGTAACCCATATCGTGCAAAACTAGAAGTATCTTTTGTCCACAATTTCTATCTCTTGTATTGCACCATGGCCATTAACCAACAGAGCTTGTCACCCATAAATCACGATATCTAGATGACTCCAAAGGCTCTAGAAATTTTTAAAATCTTTTTACAGGATGACAAAGCTGGGCTTTTTGCAAAAGTGAAAATGCCCATTTTTGGTATAAAGTAGGTGGAGTGTCAGTGAATTTCTGATAGTCTCGTACTAGCGTGTTTATTTTCTTTATAATAATATTATTATTATCGTATGAATCAGATAATTATCACCTTTTTTGACCCCAGAAATCACCTCAATTCTGGCCTCACCTAATTAGCATGGCCGGGCAAAAGTTCCGCTTACCCGGCCTTTGCGGCTACCGGTACCAGTTAGGGTAGGAGGGTACCGGTACGAGTATGATCGTATCATACGGTTAACTACATTTAACCCGCCCTACGCATACCCTATCCTGATAGGGTTAACTTAGTAATAAAAGTACTCGTACCATACAGTACAGCCAAGACATCCAATTACCCCACCCTCCTAATCCATCAGATTCTTATCCATCCACTCCATCTATCATACAAGACGGGAGTCTACTCGGGTAAGCAAGTGAGCAATCACAAAAAGCACATGAAAAATGTTAACCTTATTTTGTTAAATTTTTTTTTTTTTGGAAACCCCAATGATAGAACTCAGGCTACTAGAACTACCTAGGTACAAATAACGAAAGGTTCTTCCCACCCATCATTCATTGTTAAACATCTAGCCAAGTATCTGTAGTGTTCCATAAAAAAAAAAAGAATGAAAAAAAAAAGTGAAAAAAAAGAAAGGGGGCCAGAAAAACTAAATCTAATCAAAGACAATGGCAGCCTTGATGGCAGACTTGTTCCTCATCGCCTCCAGACACTCACCCCATTGCTCGAGTTTGTAAGTCTTGTTCACAATACCTTCAACCCTGACCTTTCCAGTGTCGAGGTAGCCGATTGTGGCAGGGAACATGTAGGTCTCCGAGAAGGAGCCAATGATGGTGATTTCGTCTCCAAAAATCTTGCTCGGCGGCCACGAGACACGAGCAGAGTCGCTATAGACACCATAGACGACGAGCTTACCGCCACGACGGACGTAGTTTATGGCGTCCTCGAGAATCTTTGGGGAACCGGTAGCCTATATATCACCCATCAGTAATAGTTTCATACAAGCGATCGACCGGTGCAGGACATACCTCAACAACAATGTCAAACCCGTACGGGTTATCATTCTTAATCTTCTCGAACTGTTCCTGGGGATTGCTCCTGGAAAGAGGAACATAGATGTCGGCGCAATCGAGCTTCTTAGCCAAATCCATCTTCAAGCCCTCTGGGGCAGCGATGACGACGTGCGAAGCACCATTGTGGCGGAGGAGCTGAGCAAGACAGAGGCCAGTCGGTCCAGCACCGAACATGAGCACAGAAGAACCGATCTTGGGGGCGATCTTCTCAAGACCATGAGCAGCGCATGAAGCAGGCTCAAGGAGGGTAGCATCGACGTCGGTCAGGTTTTGAATCTTGAACACTTTTCCGGCGGGGTACGCGCAGTACTCGGCGAAACCACCGTCCACTTTTAAAAACAAATTGTCAGCACCTGCTCCATCTGGTCCGTGGCGGGATGAAAGGTAAGGGATAACTAACTGGTGACACCATGAGCCTCGAACTTCTCGCACAGCAAGAGTTGTCCACGACGGCAGTAAAAGCACTCGTTGCAGAGCTCCGAGTTATCAGCGCATACGCGCTCACCAACCTCAAATCCCTTGACGTCCTTTCCGACGGCAGCAACAACACCAACAGTTTCATGTCCTACGGAGTCACCAATCAGCCGCCAATTTCATCCCCAATTCACTCCCGGTCCGGAGTCAGTATTAGGGGGATAAATACCAGGAATCAATGGGAACTGCAGGGGAAGATCACATCACGTTAGCCTAAGATCACGGAAAAAGTGTCCACAAAGGTGTCATGACACTGCCCATAAGGGTGTCCAGCCACCATCCACCACCATGTAAGTATATAAAAGAAACTTCCTCCTATCGAAAGAGGGGTATGGGTTTTCAAATTACCTTTGCGATGAATTCACCCTCGTGAATATGCAGATCCTACCATTCCGTCCCATCCTCATCAGTATACAGTTCCTCATCACTACCACCACCAACACCACCAGAGATCACTCACAGTTCCACAGACACCGCAAGCCTTGACTTTGATCTATCGTTCCATCAATTAGCTTTCCAATTCCACGACAAAAAAAAAAAAGCGGCAAGGAAACACATACCAAAACATCGTTATCACGAAGCGTAGGCAACGGGACTTCAACAACAGCATACGACTCTGGCTTGTCGTAGCTACCAGAAATATTCAATCAACCATCCAGAATGAAGCGGGGTAAATCATGAGAGAAACTTACCGGAGAGCCTTCATGGTTGCTGGAAGAGACATTGGATGAATTGATTGAGGAAGATGACTACTTGACAGAAAAGGTTTACGGTACTTAATTGATTTGGATAGACGAATGGAGGACAAACACAAACGGGTAAGGGAGAGAGGAAGGAAGGGAGAGAAAAAAGGGGGAACAAACAGATCATGTCCGGGGGAAAAGAGAAGTCTTTTATATCCCCAAGCCCTGACCACGGGCACAGCATCTCTATTCTATCAAGCAACCACCACTACCACCCCCGGCGGACGGGGCAACGGAGGGGGGGGGGTGAAGGAAGGAAGGATGAGAGGGAGTGTGAGGGAGGGGTGCGTTGTCGCACATCTCCATCGGAATAAGCCCCACCAAAAAAAAAAAACGAGAGCACACGGGAAAAAAAACCACCATGATTGTTTGGCACCCGCCCTGGATTAGTTGAGTTTTAACCCCTCCTCCAATAATCCGTGTCGAGACGCTTGCCTCTACGGTACTCGTACTATCATACACAGAGGGAGAAGGTAGTCTAGTATGAAGGACTCGGTGACATCAATTGACTCGCTAATTCCTTTACGAGCACAATAGCTAGGTTCAACCCAAACCAACCCAAGCTACACCCGAATCCACCGCGGCACTACAAGTATCATACTCCGGCAAGCAAGGCAAAGTCAAGGGCGGGGAAGGGAAAGCCCAAGTTGAGCAAACTTAAATTATTCCCTCACGCCTAACGTCACCACCATCCATCCATTCTCCCTCCACCTTCCAGAATCCAGATACGGGAGGGTACCGAGTAAGTTGACCTTAACGGCTGGCCTCCTCCGTGCACCTCGAATGGTATCAAAATCATCCCATCAATCAAAAAAGCACACACATGCACACGCACATGCACACAGAAGAGAAGAAAAGAAAAAGCATGCAAAACGCTTCTCAAAACCCAAAGTGGGGTTCTCAACCGCAACCACCGAAGAAGAAAAAGAAAAGAAAAGAAAAAAAATATCATATGTACAGGTACTCCGTAGAGAGAGATGATCGTTCAAATTGAAATAACGTAAAAACGTTTTTCCCCGGAGCAACAAGTAAGTGATAGTGATAGTGATAATACGGTAGGGTAAGCGAATCGTTACCAACAGCGTTGACAGTTATCGTTCGTGATAAGCTATTTTTTTTTTCACAGTTGGCCAGAACTTTGTGCTTACGAAGGGAGGAGGGAGGCACGAGGTACAAGTACTGTACGAGTACAGCATTGTAAAGTACTCTAAGGGATCCAAAATATCTGTGTGGGGAGATAAAAGCGAAAGGCAATTGAAGAGTGTAATTTGAAACCCGGGGAAGCACCTATTTCGAAAATCCCGGCTCGCCACTTGTCATGCACCGAAAAGACTACCGACGGGGATTGCAGGGTTAAATTGACATTTTCTATAAGAGGTACTTGTACGGTGGTCGGATTTCTATCATATTTAGGCGCGCGGAGAACATCCTGCTTGCTTGCTTGCGCTGGAAACCTGGGAATCTATGCATACGGGCGCCTAGATTCGAGTCCAATGATAGCCCAGTCAAGGGCCACCCATCCGGCGGGGTGGGGTGCATAATAGGTTCCAATGCATTTATGTTGTTTTGGTAAGCAAGCACCCCCAGACCACGATGCAACTCAATCTTAACAAAACTCGAATCATACTATTATACTAGTGCAAAATCAATGATCCAATGTAAATGCCCATGATACCCTGAAGCATCGCCGGTCAACTGAAGCTGTGATACAGTATCCAAGCTATGGTATAATATAACGCGATATCATACCTCGAATCATAACCCCTACTATGATACCGGTACTGCATAGTACACTCCAGGATCTCCCCTCTATCCATCCGCGAACTGATAAAAACTGTAATGCCGGTAACATAACTGACCCCCCCCCCCATCCTACCCCATCGCCATCGCCATCGCCATCGCTCCAATCCGTTGGTAAAAGGAAAGGAAACACCATGTTAACCCAACCCAAGTAGAACAAGAAGAAAAAGCAAAAGTAAAAGAGAAAACAGAAAGCTACAATAACTCCCCCACGCCAGGAGCTCACTCCACGGTGCCTGCATCTTGTATCTCACGTGAATATAATCCGGCCTCAAGATCTATCAAACGGCGCCGTCGCCGGATCCCGAAGAGTTTGTTTTTCTGTCTCTCTCCCCCACCGCAAATTTTTTTTTTCACAATGTGCTAATCTGGTCTCCCAGCAGGTATCCTGCTACCGGTACTCGTACACTGCGGTATCGTACTATACGCCAACCCGATTAGATTCGCTTCGGTTCAACGAGTATCATAATATTACGAACAATGAACAGGGAATGTAACAAACAGCCAGCCAGACGAAAGAAAAAGAGCAAGAAGACAGGCGCTAATAATTAAGAATGAGCTAAGCAAATTTACCTCCCCCCCGCATGCCGATACTCCCGTCCCCCCACATACTGAGCATCACTTCAATCCAAAGCCCTCACTCTCCGTCACTGCCCTCCAGAGCAGTGCTTCCAACTTCTCTCTCCGCTTATACCTCCACAAGCAAATTTGATTAAAGCATGTTCTCGCAACCGGGAACCTATTACTATCCTGACCTAGGCAAACTACCTTAATGATCAAGTTCGTCGCACCCATAGCCGGAATCCGATCGCTGCCAGTAATAAAGCTCAGCAGCATCCTCTGCTCTTTTGGCGTGATCTTTTCAAAAAAGTTCCAGAACCACTTCACAATTGGGTCATTCTCAGCTGGATTCCCGCCGCCCCAGCCATCGTATATAGCAACTGCTTTGAGTGCGGAAACGTCAAGCGCTTCGTCCGAACCGCGGATTAACAGCTCGATTTCCTCAGGGCGGAAGAGTGCCAGCGCGTTGCCGCCGCATACGGTGTAGAAGCCGCGCTTGAAGGGCTCAAATTGCTTCGCGACGGAGGAGTTGAGGAGGTAGTTTAGGTATAGGTCAACGAATTCCCTACGGTTGGAACTGGTCACGGGTCGGTTCTCGCCGTTGGGGCAGAGCGGCACACGTATTACTTGACCGAACCTTTCGGTTTCGGCGACAAAGTCGCGGCAAAATGTCGATTCGACATCTCCCTCAAACTCGAGTAACTGGCGCAGTCCATGGGCTAGTGAGGGCCTAAAAACAGCAAGGTCCTCGAGGGTGTGATGCAAAGGTGGGCGGATGGAGGACACCGCGAGACTATGCGGTACAGTGAAGTGAAGGAGCTTCTTGAAGATGTATGGCGGCAAGGCCACGTCCAGGATGGTGGAATTGTAAATAGCCAGACCAAACAACACCCCGACAAGGAAAAACTCCTCCGAAGATTCGAGGGAGTTCGGATTGAAGTAACAGTATTGAGAATCGTCATCGTATACAAACATACCTAAATTCCATGAGCCCTTTCTTCAATCACGTCTATAACTTTGTGGAGGAGGGTCGGCATACCGTAACTTGGGTCAAAAACATCTCGAGCAACCAGGAGAAACCATTCCTTCTTCAGGCCCCCAGCATCAACACCATCCTCGCCGATAAATTCAATTCTTAGCCCCTTCTTGATGTCATCAAGGCTACCTACCCCTTCACTAATGCCCTTCAAGCTATCCTCAACTAGACATTCCCTCCGGACTTTCAGTACTAGATACTGATTTATAGTCCTGCGGCTCGCGATACTATTGAAGAATGCGTGTCTAGCTTGCACCTCCATCTGTCTCTTCGCGTCGTGCTCAAGAATAGATATCTTGGCACCCATGGATAACAGAAACGGATATTGACAAAAGCAAAACCTCGACGCCCTCGATTCCCAGACGTCAAAGTCAGCTATGAGGTCTTGGTAATCGAGCAGCATATTATAAAATTCGCTTGTGGGTATAATCTGACCCCTCCTCCGTGCCTCACGTCGCGCGATCTGGCCATAGTTTAAATTATCATCCGCCGTATCATAGCTAGAACCCTGTAGGCCACGGCGGCCGGCAGTATTATTGTTCGCCGAGAAGAATAATGACATGACCCGGGCTGCAGCACGGATCTGCCAATCGTCATTATATGACAACCGCCCACCCGCCGATGCCGCAGACCCACCTGCATGCGATCGTTTCCTTCCTTCCTGTCTAGTAAGTCGGTAAGTAATGAAGCTTCCTACAAGCTCGATCAACCGCCGGAACTGTGTTTCCGGCATCCTTGTAAACCACGAAACGAGATAGTGATGACATTCGTTTGGAAGATTTGACAATAAACCAAGAATCCGCTTTACGATACCAGGATTGTGCCCTGGGCCACCACCTACCCCACTATGGGAAGATGAATTAGAAGGGTACCTTTTGGGTACAGCGAGTTTATCTCCAACCGGTCGAGACGAATGGATGCTCGGTGAAGACGCCATACCACTATTTGACCTAGTAGACGCCCGGGAGAACGATGGATATAACAGAGGATTTGCCAGTATTACAAGCAAGAATCGAACCTCCTCTGGCTTCTTCAGTGGCCGTCCAGGGCGTTTCAGCACGCTCTCAGTAGCCTTCAATAAGATTCTAGCAATATTATCCCTGGCCTCCTCTATCTCCGCCGATATCTCCATAATCTCATCTTCCCACCCCAGCCTCCGGGAGAGTAAACTTTCAGACAGCTCCTTCGAGTCTCCCTCCTTATCCCCGCTATTAGACCGATGCAAAGCCCTTTCCAGTGCATAATCTCCCCCGGCATTCGTAATCATGTCATAAAACTCATTGACGGCATCCCAATCAATGCCAGGACTACGAATACTAAACTTCGCATCCGCACGACTCCTATCCGCTCTTTCGGACTTGTTATAACCCCTAGCGTCTGCAACTCTTCCCCTTCCCATCAGCAACGTAGCTTCCTTCTCTCCAATATTCTCCGTGACAAAAGCTATATCCTCCCTCCTCCCTCGCGACCTGCTTCCCAGTTCACTCATGCCAATTTCCGCCCCCTCGGTTTTGTTGCGTCCCCCAGAATCCTTCCGCTCCTTAACGAAACTCCCATTAAGACATTCCCAATCATTAAATGCTAGAAATAAGTAGTCCTCCAACCGCTTAAACATATTTTTAGCGAGCTCCCGACCGGAGTCCTTCGCATCCCCCTCACCCTTCTCTTTCCCTGACTTCCCCGGCAGTGACCCGGGGGCATCGCCCACGGAGGGCATGGCGCTAGGGGCAGATGTAGACGGCATAACGGCACCCTCTGACCTACTTAAGAAGGATACCAACGGCCTGCGGGAGTCAAAGACGGGGAAGGCATTCGGAGTTCCGGGGATGTCACCCGGCACGGATCCTTCTCCCCCGCCCCCGACGGGCGGGGGCGGGGGCGCATATGCCGGCATCTGCTTAATCCACTTCCGGGTGTCGAGGTACTCCTCCACGCAAGTGTCTATTATAGCTTTGGTCCCCGCGAGGGACACCGGAGGTACTAAAACAGAACAAAGCCTCATTAGTAAGATGCCGAAGGGTTCCGAGTAAGGCTATACAGGGTAGTATGCGCAAACCTTCCTTTAACGGGGTATCCGGAGTCCCCGGCGGCCCCGAGGGGACCGGCTTTAGGTCGTTGATAGTCATGCAAACCGTGCATCTAAAAACATTCAGGTTTGACGGCCACCGAACCGTACAATCACAGCACATGCAATGGCCCGTCGCCTATTACATCCCCTCCCATCAGATAAGCTCCAGAAAGTGTAGGTAAACTGTGTGAGAGAGAGAAGAGAAACTCACAAATTGCGCGTTACTACTCCTGCTACCCCCTCCTCCGCCTCCCCCCTCTGTAATCCCGCGACCGCTAGCACTTCCTCCCCCACCGCGTCCAGGACTCCCCGTCCACCCCGCCGAGGCAGAAGTTTGTTGAGACCTAGACCTCCCGTGCTTCATCATCCCGTCAGAGTCGTTATTTGTCGAGAAGAGTCTAGAGGGCCACGATGGCATGCTGTTGTCGTCGTGTGTATTCAAACAAGCAAGAATAGTCTGAGAATGAGCCGCAAATTCAGGTCAGGTGCACCAAGCAAAGAAAGAAGGGGGCAAAAAAAAAAAAAAATTTAAAAGGAGGGCTGGAAGTGCTCGAGTATGATACGGTACCGTACTTTACGCGACAAATGGCCTAAAAACTGATCTTCCGTTGAATATAATGGAGGAGCATGAACAAAATCTTACTCCTTTGTTTCATTCCCCTCGCCATTTTCTACTCACTCCACTCTATTACTATTACTATTTGGAGAGCAATCCGGAGGTTGGCGGCGCGAACCACTTTATCGAAAGGGAGAACCTGCACTTCTTACCATCGAGCACATGGTGCCGGGATCACGTGGATGGGAGGTTTCCCGAATATTATTGTTTATTTCTCAAGCTATCCTTAATCCCCAAGCTATTGAGAATATTAAAAACCAGATTGCAAAAAGCACAAATCCCGAGACCACCATGTGAATCATCAGTTGTAGTATAGGTTAGAGGGGTTTACCAGACAAGGATTAGGTCGGGGAGATATTTGAGTTACTCGAGTACTTGTACCGGTAGAAGGTGCTGTGCAGTAATAACCCAGAGATTTGGTTGCACGTGCCCGGGGAGATGTTCCCGCACAATACACGGATAGTTGACCAGCACATAAACCCTGCTTTGTCCGGAAACATCTCCCCTGGTACAGGAATCGGGCGTGGAAGTAAAAATCGAGCAAGGCAGGGATAATAACAAGGAACCACGAGGATCGTGGGGGTGACATGTTGGGGAAGGCAGGGGAGTCAAGGGAGTTAAAATGCCGGAGTACGAGTACTGTAGTTGCATCCTGATCATCAAGCCATCTGTTAACGCTCTCATTAAAGCACTTTCAAAGTTCCAAATCCTGGATAAGTTAGCCCAATTCCCGATACCAAAGTACCAATTTTGCCTCGCTCTACATTCAAACTTTACAAAGGAAAGAGAATCACCAGTCCCATCCTACATCTGCCCAGTCTGCGTCCGGGAGTACTGTACGGTACTGTACTTGAGTCCACTGAGTTGCCGGTCTTTTCTTCAATTCCGGCCAGCTCAGTACTTCTTTGCAACGACAGGGCTGCTTGGGGAAATCGATATTTTTTACATCCACCCCGAGTACAGCACAGTACAGTAATTTACACCTCCCCGGGGCAAGTGAGCCTCTAGGAAGAATACTGCGCCGTGGGAGGGGTCTCTTAGCTGCACTTCTCACCCGTCAGCGCTAAATAACGCAGCGTGTGATATTTCTCCTGGTCATGAATCCACTCGTACTAGTCACGTTTCACAATTCACCACGAGCAAAAGTCGAACCCCCCCCACACAAGCACCAACAACCCCTTGCAGTTTCAGATATTTTGCGGGTCGACAAATTTAGGTATCTATCGGTAACGCGTGGACCACGACGGCTCCTAGCAAATACCAAATCTCCCCGCCATATACTCGGGCGTGGTCATGAAGCGAAGAAAAAGGATCAGCAAGATCCTATGGGGTAGTGAGCAGCTAGTCAATATCAGTGGGGGGGGGGGAAGAAGAAGAAAAAGGCAAGGCCTGGTTGACATGAGAAACCCAGAGTGAATGCCAGATGAATCATTGTGCAGACAGGAGGAGGATGCTCAGGTAGTGTGAGGTAAGAATCATGAAATTGGGCTCAGTACAGACAAGTCGCATGGGTATTGCTTGTGACCCCATAGAACCCTTCAGAATCTCCAATTCTCATCTCGGGGGAAAAGAAAGTAAGCAGCAATGCAACTGGTCTGGGTTTCTGACTTTTAAAATGCCACATTTCTTTCCATGGTGATTTTCGATCGATCAACATACTGTACTGTACTCCATGCTTCGCCGCCACAAGTTTTCCGTCCTTTATGACCATGCCCGAGTGCGGTACAAGTAGCTTGATTGGCAAAAGCCCAGATTTATCGCCGCAGGTTCAGCAAAACCCCTCCAGCGCCAACTACTGGAGAAGTGTAATAATTGTGCCTGCCTGCTCAATGATAGGCATATCCTGAAAAAATATTGCATTTCTATAGGAAATACTTCAAAGGTGTGCAGTGCGCTGAGGTTGAGTGGGGGGGTAAATGCGACTACCACCGGCTCTAGTTAAATGGCGAATCATCCCTGTACTGTACTCGCCCCCCCCCCCCGCAAGAAGCACCCTTCGTGCCATCCAAAACCCGTACCAGGTTACAGATTTTCAGTCGATTATATCTCACTAGTAAGACCTCCAATCACTTCAGAAAGAAGAAAAGAAAAGAAAAGAAAAAAAGAGAAAAAAAAACCCCCTATAGATTATTCCAGTAATCTAGATGAATAATTACCCCAACGTGGTATAAAGGTGTATAATCATTTAAAAATGATAACCATCTCGTGCAGGTTTTTGATAGCATGAATCGCACCTGAGCATGACAGAGAGTAGCTCCAAGGATTGTAGGAAGAGCCCGACACCCTCGGAGCAAGATACCATCGGACTCGTGGATGGCCACGCAGTCAACTACGACCAGATAACGCGGTCTTAATATGAGAGGCATGGAGTGGCTCTCCATCATATATTTAAGCCCGGTGGTTTGTACTTTATCCTGAGAAGAACTGTCACCCTACACAAGGGGTCTCCTATCATACAATATTCACCTAACCAGCACACACGATTTAATTGCCAAATAAGTCCCACATCTACCAGCCTCACCAGCCCCCAAAAACACGACCAACATTATACCTACCGCAACTACCCCCCACATCCAGTCCACGCACTTTTAATCATGATCCGTCCCGTGGTGGCTCACTCGCTCGGCAGCTGTTCTCGCAATCTCGATATCACCAGAAAGGGCGCACACTTACGCAACTCGCGCGCGGAGACAGCTACAGTACATTCAAAACCCCGACAATATATTGCCCAACAGTCCCGCTCATACCTACCACTGCGCTAACGATCTAGAGTTTCCTCCGAGGTTGCTAAAACGACATTGAAAAACAAATGCCGAATTGCCGCTTCCAAACTCGACTCACCATTTCTCCTCCCATAAATTCAATTCTTTTGAAAAAACAAATGAAATAAATAAAAAATGCCAAGTTCAAATAGTAACCAGCAGACACAGCCCCAATCCACCACTGCGGGAAAGAAAATTTCAAGCTCAATCGAAGAACTTGTGATTCTCCCCCATCACTCGATCCCAAATCAAATGCGCGCACCACCGCAAACCCACCGAAACTTGTTACACAAAGCGCGGGCAGAAAAAAGGAGGGGGGGAGGTACCCCTAGAGGTGTGTCCAATCCAGTCGCACAGTATGTATGCCAGAAGAGAAATACAAACTCACAGCGCACAATCACAAAATCTCACTCGCTCAACATCCTCAAAGTCCCATCATTAGAACTGATAGACACCATCCTCCAAAGTGCCTGGGCACCCCGTACCAAACACCACCCCAATACCACACCCAAAACCCCTACCACAAGAAGGAATATGCCCAGAACCTTCACACTCCTCCTCCCCATGGTGCCCCTCTCCCCCGTATCCACCGCTTCACCCGCCCCCGTTCCCTTCCCCAACATCGGCACGTACGAGAACTCAAACCCTGTCTCGCCGCCCAGTCCAATCTCTCCGAGGACTATTACCTTCCATAGCGTTTCCCGGGCAACGGCTCCATGTCGTTTGTCGAACCAGGGGACGAAGCGCGCGGTGTATCCAAGGTAGCAGTTGAGGATGCACTGCGCCAAGACTAGTATTTTCGAGGAGAGTTGCACGGGTGGGAGGCCCAGGGCATCGCAGAGGCAAGGGGGGTTCAGCCAGCGGGTTGAGGCAAGGAGGTAGGTGCGGGTTGGGTATGTGGGGGGTTGGCAGGCCAGGGAGGTGAGGATGTTAGTTGCCAGAAGGGCGGAAGTTGGTGTTGGAGAGATCTGGGTTGTAATGAGCACGTCGTAATAGGCCCTTGCCCGAGCAGAGGTGGAGAAGGGGCTGGAGATGTTAGTAGTGGGAGGGGGAGTAGATGGAGAGGGTTTACTGCGTCGGGCACCCAACATAGTGCGCAATTAACCTCCATAGTGCGATATAATCCTCGACCCTATCCCCCATCACCACTATCAGCACTCACTCTCACCCTTCCCTAAGCGCAAATTCACATACTCTCTAGAACTCAGGAACAACCCTTGCTTCGGCAACGCCCCCCAAACCATATTCGCACTAAAACTCAACACCGTTCCAATAGAGTCCAAATCATTCACGGGAACACCAAACTCCTTAACAGAGTAGTAGCCGGGGTTCCTCCTCTCAATCTCCAGGATCCTCTTCCGCACGGCAGCGTGCAAGAGTCTGACTTTAATGCTGGAAATTTGGCCAGCGCCCCCAGGTTTTATTGATTCTAGAGATTTGGTGCATTGGAGTATATGCCTTTCCCAGTCAACATCCAGAAGTGGGGGGAGAGGAAGCAATGGGAGGTTACTGCATGGTCTCAAACATCCTCCTCCTAGCAGTGCCCGTTGAGAACCCTCCCGTTCTATATAGTACCTCTGCGATACGGGAGGCACCCATGCCGCCTAATAGGCTCATATAACAAAGCCCCATCAGCATCGCGCCAGAGTATCTGTAGAAGACGTCCTGCCCGCGGGAGATTTGTTCCCAATCCACCCATGCTGGTACCGTGTCCACCCGCTGCCACAAGGTTGATAAGGTGGGGTGGGTGTCGTGGTGTTCCTTGGGGGTTGTATAGAGGTCCTTCTGGGGGGATGTAGGAGAGGCAGGGGGGGAAGGGATCCGGAGGAGGGTTAGGAGGTCTAGCGCTTCGTCTGCTAGTGTGTCCCAGGACTCTTGGTGAGTGGTTAGGACTTGGGCGGCTGGGTGGAGGGGGGTTGGGACATATTTGTGGCCCCAGGCGCTGATTGTCGTTTTGCGAGAGTGGGGGGGGATTGCGCTGGAGGGGATGCGGGGATGCGAGGAGAGGGAATGTGAAGATGGTAGTAGTGGTGGCGACATATCGTATGCATCTGATTGACCATTTAGCAGATTGTATTCAGGGAGTACACGGGCCGATACTCGTGCAATCCTGCAAACCGGTTAGCCGGTTGGGACCGAGGTGGGGGAGCGGGATGGCATCTTCTTGGAGAGCCTCAGTTCCCAACCCCCCTCAATGACAATCCTGTGCTTGGCCAACACCCATACACCGATAACGGCCTGATCCCGAAAGTCCAGAGTACTCATACAGTAGTCTAAGTTATCAGTGGGCAATCCGCCGGCAACAGCGGATCGAAACCGTGTCGGCTTCCATCCACCCAGACACATGACGTCATACCACACCATCCGCCTCAAGCCTCAAAACACTAGTGTTCGAATAATACGGTACCGTACCGTACCTTACACGATCAATACCATACGGTATATTACTGTAAATTACACTAGGAGATAAAATTCTGGAAAACGACATTCTCATCCTAACCTCCGATTTTTTCTTCCATCCTATTACATCAATGTGAAGCAATCTCACCTCCACCCCCTACAATTAATCATGGTTGCCTTACTGTGTTCATAACTGCTTCAAAAAAACTCCACTATTGTACCAAGCATCAAAATTCATAATTTCTTTATGTCACAAGCAGCAAACAATGAGATCATGCAGACTTTTCTGATGTGCCAGATGTTTTGAGCTTAAGGTATATTCAAAACTGACTTTATTTCTTCTCTGAAATAAGAACTAACAGTTTCTATGATTTTTTAGTGTTGGGTGGTTGAATATCGCTATTGTGGATGGACAAGAGCTCATAACACCACAAGACAAATTGCGCATTTAGCACAATGTTTTCCCTATCATCGCTCCTCCTCTGGTACAACCTCTGAGAATCAAAATCAAAGTCTTGGTACTACTGAAGTCCAACCGTGTACCATTTCCAATAACAGTACAGTCCACAATGACAAGACCTTAGTGCCTCTAACACTTGAGAGGAAGGATGTACTTCAGCTGAATGCTGCATTTGCGGTATATATGGGAGCCAGGCCATTCACCCTCTTAGATGACAAGTATTTTTGACAATACCTTAGTAGTCTTTCCGGCTATCTCAACTATATTCCACCAACCCACACAGAGTTAGCAGGACGCTTGCTAGAAAAGGCCTACAACTTGGTACATTGAGAGGTTATCATAATGCTTGACAGTGAAGACTATTTGAATATAGTTATAGATGAAAGTGGGAATATTGCCAACTAAAGAATCATCAAAATGTGTATCGTAACACCAATTGGTACCTTCTGTGAAACAGAAGACAGCAAAGACCAATCGCAAACTACTCGGATGTTGTTTGAGTAGATGATGCAATGGATATAAGTTCTAGTAGGACATCAGGGATGGTGTTGATTCAATTTATTGATTACAGATATATGTAATACGATGTGGACAGTATGGTCATTGGTGGAATATGATTCACGAATGAAGTATGTTTTTTGTATTCTATGTGACTCTCATAGCTTACAACTCTTAATCCATGATTTGCTCAATATCGATCCCTATTCAGCACTTCTTGATAAAGCTCAAACGATTGCGTGTTTTTTCTGGCGAGTAAAACTTCAGTATTCTATATTATAAAAGCATCAATACATTTACTTCAGAAAGCCAAAGGCTTTTGTTCTTGCAGTTAGCACATGATGAAGAATCAAACTGGCTTGATTAGTTCAGTATTGGATAATAAGAGCTTCGATAAGTTATCTAAATAAGGAAAGTGCTGAATCCGCACCAGATGTAAAGTCTATAATTCGGCAGACTACTTTTTAGGCTTGTTTGGATAACTTGTATACCTTGTTAGGAGGTATTTCAGAAAGACAAAAGTTGTCAGAATCTACGTATGCACATGTTGGCCGAGTTCATCAACACTAGATCGTAATTCATGAGCATATTGAATTTACCTGTCAGGAGGTTGGTACCTTTCAACTCAAACCAGAAGCAATGGCAAGCTTATTACCAGTCTTTTCAGTACATTTCTAAAAGCAATGTATTCTGATTCACCTTGTTGCCTACTTTCTTGACCCAGCCTTAGTTGCAAGTGAGCAAATTCTAACCTCAATGGAGAATGAAGTTATTATATTCTTCTTGAAACGATATGGGTTTGGAATTGTAAAACAATAATATGGGTAATTTCAAAGTCAACCAGGTTGCTTTTGCCATACTGGATCAGTATGGGAATTGGCTAGCTCAACACGATCCTTTTGGCAAGAAGTTTCAATTTTTGCACCTGACCTCAGTCATTTAGCACTTTGTATCTTTTATAAACCTGCGAATTCAGTTTCTTCAGAGCGAGCATTTTCTAAGCAGAATCTTTTACATGATAAGAAGCACAACTGGTTAGATGCTAAATGGGCTGATAAATTAAGTTTTATTCATATCAATAAGCATATCTTGGATTGCCAACCTACAGAGATACGAGGATGGTTAGACAAAAGGCTTAAGGATGAGGATTTGGTAGCATACAAAGAGGACTGTATAGTGGAGGATGCTACTGAGGAGGAACTAAGTTAGATTCATGATGTTATTATTCATAGTACTAGTAGTTAATTCTATATCTGTGTACTGTTCTGAACTTTGTTTTACTTCTTGCAGATTGGGAGTCTGAGTTCATACTACTTAGGAATACTATATATGTAAATATAACGATCCCTCCTCGGATAGTTAGTTCTTGGCGACAGAGAATGATACTTCTCTTCTTTTTTTGTTTCTTTCCTTAGTTTTATGATAGCACTAGGTCTTTGCCTACGTTACTGATAGTACAAGACCTTTGTCTTCTATCGAGAACGCCTATTGTAAGCTTTCTCTAACACTTCTTCATGAAAAGCTTTCCTTGGTGTAATGATAATGTTGCAATAAAGATAAAGATTGTAAAGGTGTTTTTTATATTCGTTAAAGTAATAAGTAGGAAAAGTACTTAAAATTCAATCTAATTTTATTTAAACTTGTACCACCAACACTGGCATACGACGAGCCCCAGGGCTGGGCCCCCAGGTTGTTGCATCCCAGATACCACTAACTACTAACTAACTAAACCTCCAACCATGTACCTCAAACATGCCCGCACCATGCCCCAACACGAATACTAAATACAAAGCCATTGTTAGGTGGAGACAACTTGATAGACTTCAAGGTTGTCTAGGCCAATTGAGATTCGTTTCTGTAGACAGAGATTGTCTAGGAAGGCTTGGACTTGGCTCGTTTCGTTTATGACTACAAGGAGCGAAGTAAAGTAGGTGAGTAGGGTAGAATCGTAAAAACAATATTATATTGTTAAGGTCTCTTCTCCGTTGCTTGATGATGTCTAAAGCTTGGGAGGCACTTCAATATTTATATTCCGCGTCTGAGTGTTTGCGGACTACATTTATTTATCATACAACTATGTACTTCTTCAGTTGTATCTCGCGACGTCGAGTTTTCTTCCAAGGTGTGAACACCTGTGGATCCTGAAAACCATCACACCCTCTTCGGTAATTACGATATTTCTTCTTACGAAGCGTGCTGTCCCCAATAGTAATATCCCGATTAGCAGAGTCTTTAGATTTATGGCCTAGTTCTTAAGTCGAACTGAGTTGGCTCCAATTGTCTTCACTATTGATAAAATGATCAGTCTTATCCATGGCTATATCTGCAAAAGTGGTCATTATTACAACTATCGTAGGTTATTTGACTCTGATCCTTTGTAACTCTATACTTAACCGATAGATTTTCTTTAGATGACTTCCTATTAACTCGCAGGAAGCCACTCCACTAGACTGGTGATTAATCCCTCGGTCGGCAACCCTTGGTTGCTCTCTGGGCAGTAGGTTTCAGTAACCATTGTAGTATTGAGAATCATCCCATGGCTACGACGTGTTCCGAAACCCAGTTGTAACACTCCATGAAGTTTGTTGGCTTCTTTGGTAGTGTCTTTCGGAGTTCTAGACTCTTCTGGTGTATGTAAATGTATCGGTCTCTAGTAGAGATCCTTTACTATTTGATACCATCTTTTTGTAAGAAATCGTCCCATTACTTACGGCTCATGTCAAAGATGTCATGTCTTTGAAGCCAAATAGCTCTCTGAATAGTTGACGGAATTACTCTGTTCCACTTCACAGGCCTAGCCGATGGTCCCCTCTCATATATCCTGCGAACAGGATCCAGTCGGACAGACAGCGACAACATATATGGTATTATTCTAACACATTCAGTACTGTGGTAATATAGTCACAGGACGCAATTGAGATTGATATATATGATGACGCGCAGGCCCTGTAAGGGAGCTGGAGGGGGGTGTTGAAAACCAGAGATTCCAATTCCAAGTGGGGTTACCCTACTTAGGGTGGTTCCTAGGTATCGGGTTCTGGTATTCCTAACAGCTATCAACGGTAAAGAAAAATCCTCCTCAGCCCAGCCTACCTGCCAGCCAAGCTACTTGTACAAAATACAAAAATTCCACTACTGCCACCTGAATGTGACCCCTCAGAAACCTCCTCCACAGGTGAAATCCACTTGAGCGCCCTCACTCAATGATCATGGGACACCCCGCTGACCGCCCTGGTACCCATCGCCATTCCCAAACAAAAGAAACATCCAACTCTCAAGGGCATAGACTGGAGGGTAAGCCGATTTACAGGGCGAAAGGCTTTCTAGCCTAGGGGGTATGAACCATCGCAGAGAATCAGGGGAGTACCTCACTGGCAGCGCAGCCCAAAAACCTCGATGGAAGTAGCCAGAATGGGATAGTCCCCAAGCCGCCGGCACTTGACCGAACAAGCCCAGGTATTCAACTCCTCCTCTAACTCCGCAGCTCGCTCCGCAGGTGGCAAACCCGCTGCGGACTCTGTAGTAGCCAGCTTGCGGTAGTGAACCAGCGAAGGTAATGACCCTTTCAAGTCGGGGACAAGTGGAACAGGTAAGGTCTGGTCTTGTTTATCCCGGTGCTTCTTGTTTTTCTTCCTCTTCTCACCCCTAGGTGCAGGTCTAGTAACAGGAGTGAACGGGCCAC